CCCCAAAAGAAGTAATAAACAACATAGCGACCTAAATGCAAACCGTTTTTCCGTCATTGATCTACCCTTCAGATAACATAGTGGTCAGACAAAACCCCATTCAATGTAAATAAAATGTCTCTACACAGTCGGAATTGTAATACAATACCAAATAAAAGAATTCCGACGAATCACAATCACGATTCTTCAGTCACTCACGGCCCCCGTCAACGGTTTAACCCTACCCCCGTTTTTGTAGTTTTATTTCGAGCCTAAGCGAAAATGTCAAGGTGCCATCCGTTGCGGTCCAAAGTGCCGTGGTACCGAGAAAGGGGCACCGTATCGCCGTCGACATTCCAAATATATTTCTCCGTTGAAATTTTGACGTAATCTCAACGGTACCGAGACCGTAAATTCAAGTTGAAATGGGGATTTTAAATTTCGTACGGTACTTATTTTGTAAATGGCATTCCATCAGATTGTTAAGTATTTTTATGAATTTTTAATAATTTAGTTGTACTTTATGAAGCATCAAAAGAAAATATACGCAATGGCGCGGCGCGTAGAATAGATCGTTTTCTATAAAAAAGTCTTGGGTATTTAAATTCTGTCAGTAACAGTCGACAATCGCAAGACGGACAAGACTATAGACGTCACTAGCGCCATCTGCTAAGCTCAAAAATGAAAACAATAACTGATGCAAAATACATTTTATAAATTGATTTTGTACAAATATAGATACACACTCCATTTTATACTGTCTTGAATGACCTCTGAAAGTATTATAATCGGAATAACTAGAAATATTGTTAATGAAGCGTTTCCACAAACAGCGTCCCTTGCTAGCTTAGGCAACAATATTAAAACACCGCTAAAGTCCTAAATTTCGATGTTCCGATTATTTGGATGTTATTTGCCAGCTAAACTCTATAGCCCAACTGTAAAAACATAATTTAAAAGACATTTACCACCCTGAATGGCGTCCAAAATATATATTTTTACACGTCACCGTCATTACCATAAGCCCGAACTGTCAATTGTCATGTTACTGTCAATTCATCGCGACGTATCTGTCATAATTACCGGTTTCATTTCCGTCACGTTACTTTATTCTCTGGCTGTCGCATTATGCACCTTTATTAATAATGACGCACCCGATTCTCTATGAAATGGAATATTTTGGGCGCGTCATTACCATTCCGGTTCTGGTAATGAAGGAATATTTCGTTTGCCTGACTGTTTTGGTGAAGTTTCATGAATAATATTTAAATTAATGATGTTATTTAACGGTGACGTAAATTGTTCTTTGAGTATTGACGTTGGAAAATAAATTAAAATTCTTTATTTGCGTTTGTCAGTGAATGCTTTTGTGTATTCATGTTTTTAGGTCATATAAGATTGAATGCATATCTTTAAAAGTTTGGGAAGATCTGAATTTCATGACTTGATATTTGTTCTTTGATATGGGAAGACTCAGTTTTAGCGCAGAGTTTAGGAATGATAAACTAAAGCTTCGCTCTCCATAATACTATTGAGTACCAGGGAGCAATTTGTACGTCAGTCAGTTAAGTCAAAATCAAAATCATTTATTTCAATTAGACAAGAAAGGATAATACGTACAATGTAGTATTTAAAAATCATTATTTGCTCGATTAAATACAATAACAGTAACAATAAACAAACAAAATATCATATAACTAATGATGTCCAGTAATGAGCAGCATGCAACCGCTTTCGAACGAATATTAGTTTAATATACCACACCGGTATTCACTTTCCTGCTAGTTACGTGAGTGTACATAGCGTCACATCTGTTGTTTCCCAGAGGGACAACGTTGTGATAATAAGGTGTATAATCATTTGAATTTAATTTTTTTTCGATATAATATATTTTTTTAGGAATATTTATCTAATAGACTACGTCAGCCACATCGTAACCCAAACATATTTATCTATAAACATTATAAATTAACTAAAAACTTATTAATTTTTTTAAATAGGTACAATAGATCGTGCTTATAAATATATACCTCTAGTATAGGAGGTAAACGAGTAAAAGGATTACTGATCAGCGCCGACATTAGATACTCGCAACACCAGAGGAGTCACAATTTTGAGAATCGTGATATGGGAAAAGGGTGATGATATAGAATAGTGATAGACTGGACCTCCGGTAACCTCAGCCTCACAGTGAAACACAATTTATACAGGTTTCGTTGCATGTCACTTTTCTGCGAGGCCATAGTACAACTCCAGTCATGTCAAGTATAGGTTTTATATGAAATATATTCCATAGTAATTGAGTGTCGTTGTGGCCAAGAGGTTTAAGCGCTTTAACCTATCAACGGCAAATACCAATGTGACTGTTTCCAAGTTGTATATACTTCCTAAGATTATTTAGACACCACTGGCAAACGGCGATGGAAAACGTCATGAGGAAACCTGCAAAGTTTGAACCAACCCGCATTGAGCAAGCGTAGTGATTAATGCTCGAACCTTCTCCGTGCGAGAAGAGGCTAGGTTAGGAGTGACCACTTATAGGTTGTTGTTGATGATGATGAGTAATGGAGTATAACAATCACTTCGTAAACTGCGTTTTAGTGTGGGAGAGCCATGCTTCGGCACGAATGGGCCGGGTCGACCGGAGTGATACCACGGCCTCACAGAAAACCGACGTGAAGCAACGCTTGCGTTGTGTTTCGTCGTGTGAGTGAGGTTACCGGAAGCCCAATTACCCTCCTCATCCCCAATCTCCCCAATCCCTGAATCCCCAACGATCCTCAAACTCCTAATCCCCAAAAAGCCGGTAACGCACTTGTAACGCCTCTGGTGTTCCAGGTGTCCATGGGCGACGCTGATTGCTTACCACCAGGTGATCCGTCTGCTCGTTTACGCTTATGCCATAAAAGAACATAACAAATATTCAGAACCATCCCTAATGTAGTTAAGGTTCACAGAGAGACTATGCACAAATAAAATAAATTAACTAAGTGGTCTATAGAAAGCCATCTCATACTTTTAAAGTTCATTGTTAAATTGAATTGTGTGATAATTCATAGTAATACTAGTCCTTTGTGATATTTTATTTGACTAATGAGGTTCACTTGGCAAGTTTCTAAGTAAAACGTCTGGTTATATTATGAAACTGATGAACTGGAACTAAAAAGTTTCTTGTCTTGTAAGTTTCTTTGACTTTGGAGTAAAGTAAATGGTTTTAGAAAAGTGTTTTCGAAATTAAGATTATGTTCTCAATTCATTGAACTAACAAGATTTGGAGGTAGTCTAAGAACCGTAATAATAATTAGTGGTGTTACTAATGGCCAATTTTTCCAACTCCAGATAAATTTTAACTCAGGAATAACCTTGAATATTTGACTATTCTTCCATAGTAAAATACTATAGTTAAAAATTTTCTAGCGATTGAAAAATCAGCCTTAAATGCTTCCAAACTCAACTCTAAAAGTTCAACTCAACATTATCTAACACAAGCAAGCATCTAACACCCATCAACAATAATAAAAAATCTTAACACCAATAAAAACCCAACCCTTTTCTCACCTAAACAGAATTCAATTTGTAAAAATGCCATACGGGTAATAACATGACATTAGCAAAAATAAACGTGGGGTAGCAGCACCAATAATACGTCTATTTGGCACCGGAAAATTGCTAAATCGCTGCCGTAGCTCGGTATGACAAACAAAGGCCTTTCGATACAGAAAAAGGGGAAGATAAAAAGAGGTCGCGTCTCACAAAGCTTGCTTGTGGTCGCAAATGCGTGAGCAATACGTAATAACTGCTCGTTCATATGTTTCAACCTATTATATAGTTGTTTCACAAAGCCTTTATTTCGTGTGAGACGATAAAGCAAGGCTGGAGTGTTTTGTGATTCATTCTGAAGTGTCTTGTCAGTACCTACATATAGGGTTGTAAACACTCTTGACCGTCGTAACTTTGTATTATGTCTACTAGTGTCATACTATCGCATTCATTAGCTTTGCCCTTCTTCAGTCTATTGAAGTATATATGTCAGTATATTTTGTCAGAAGTTCGTTGTATTTTGTTGATTGTAATTAATTTACGCTTGAAATTGTAAATGGCTTAAAGTCAAAATCATTTATTTCAATTAGACCAGGAAGGCACTTTTGAACGTCAACAACAAAAAAATTTAGAAGTTAAGCTAGTTGCTCATACCAAGGTGTAGATTCCTATGGAGAAGAACGAGCAAGAAACTCCATAGGTAACTCTTTTTCAATCGGGTTTACTTAGAAGTTGTAACACCAATATGACTAGCAAAAAGTATATCCTAAATGGCATACCTCAAAGGAATAAAAATACGTGATATTATATTTATAGTAATAAATCACACCGAAAATTCTAGACTCGACACCAAAAAATCTTTTATCTTCGTATTTAGGGTAACGGAAACCCCGAGGCGCTTCGAACGTGTGATTTAGGTCATCTTTCTGACTTGTATTGACGAGATGGAATGTTATTCCACATTCTGGCTACATCGTTGGAAATAGTACAAGCATTAAATACATTCCAACATGCCAGTATGGGGTCAACTAGGCCGTTTATTACATGAAGGCTTAGCGTTTTTCTCGTTTGTAAGTTATGTAGGTAGTGTCCTAGAGGCAATCCATCGAGCTTGAACTGGACAAGTAAACTATAATATTACTACGCAGAAATGTGGTCACATTAAAGAAGATAATTAAAATTGGTAATGGTAATGAATCTCATCATGTTACTAGTGTTGATAGTTTGTCGCGGAGAACCTAATGAGTCGCGGAGAACCTAACGGGTTACCGGGGCTCCAGCTCGAAGCGCAGGAGAAAGAACGGGGTGATTTTTAGTCAATAAGAGTTCGAATTTTAATGATTTTCCCCCCTTAAAAAAAGTATTGACAGTATCGCACGACATTCTTGGTTAACTGGCTTAGGTATAAAGCAATTTTTCATTTTTTTGTTTCGAATATTATAACATTCTCTAACTGAATATTTTCTTTTGTTCCAGATAAACATAGTGGTGTTCAGTGAAAATGCAAGTGACTTAAGTGTAAAGTGTTCAATATGAAGACCTCAAACCTAGTGCTGACACTCATTTGTGTCATCTCGCTCACTTGTACTCATGCTAAAACAGGTCAGTTTTTTTCCTTCATTACTATGATCATATTTATAGAGTGATGTCGGTTCTTCGATTTCAGGATTTTATTTACTTTATTTCTATACATTTGAACGCATCAACATATGCAGAAATTTTTTGGTTTGAAAAGAGTGAGAGAGATGGCCTATACTTTCTGTCTAGCGCTATCTCTTTCTCGCTCATAACGTCTTAACTACGGTACTATTTTGAGAGAGATAAAGATAGACCGAAACTTCGTTTCCTCTCTTTCTTTCGGAGTGCCACAATTCTCATCTCTAACGCATGTCCATTAGTATATATCGATGTTTGAACCTATTAAACTATGATCTCTAACCAGCCTGCCAAGCGTCGACATATAACTAAGTATATAAGAACATTTAATTATTATGTCTAGAGACTCGTTGACCCCACAGTCAAACCATTGCAACGGTTTTGTGGGACTTACCTTTGTGATATAAAGATAAATAACTAATAATAAAGTAGTAGACTGGCATTGACTATACTGATGCTCGATAATAATTTACTTTGTATTTCCCATAATTTGAAGTTTGAATTCACTTTGTCAATTAAAAGAAGTCCTTGTCATCAATATAACATGTTTCAAGAGATTACGTTTTGCAAAAAGTAAGTCAAATACTCCGTATACAAACTAAGTCCTTCAGCGTAATATTGCAATAGTATTTTTAACGACACTAAGTACTATTTTCTCTTATGCCAGCTTCTACATAAGCATTATTACTAACATCCCTTTTACAAATTGCTTTCGTAAGCCCGCTTTCATTCATTCTTTCAACATGACCAAACAATCTTAGCATACCTTTCTCAATTTTCGTTCGTGACTCAGTTTCTTTTCTAGATTTTCTACAAGATTTTAGCATAGGTACTTACGCCGTCTGTTTTCTAATGTCTACGTATGATCATGTTTGTTTCTTAGTGTGGTTAGACATCATGAAAAGTACATCTTTTCATAAACATTACCATTCTCTTCATAAACGATCATCAATTCAGAACACTTCAATTCGAATCTAAACCTTTCTTAAAACCAGTATTAATCATATCGCCAGTAAATTAACTGACAATAAAACATCGATTCTAACTGGCACCCATCAAAATGAAGAAGACTTCGTGATTGCAAACTGTCAAGCAATCAGTCACGATCGAGTTTTATTGTCTGCTTGCCGGGTTGACATGAGAAGGCATTATAATTGAGACTTCAATAGTTTGATGGGGATGTTAACAACTGCTTTGGTGATTAGAAGGGAGTTTAATGGTTTCTTCTAATGTGTGTTAGATTGATTTGTGTTACGTAACTTTATACTGGGTGTCCCTGGAAGTATAGATCAAAGTGAACATAACCAAAGAGGAAGTCAGTCCCTAACTTTTGCGTTTGGGAATGTTTGTCCAATAATATTGGTTCAAAAGTTTGACTAAACACGTTAAATTTCTATTTAGTACAACGAGGAATAGTTTTAATCTAGGTACGAACGTGTTACTAGTTTCAAACTCCCATGTTGTTTCATAGTTATCCAGAAAGTTTAGAATCAAAAATATCAGATTTGAATTTGGTTTTCTTGGATACAATAAATAGAGGGAGGTTTTTCGTTTCAATACTATGCCATGGCAATTAAAGTTACTACATTTTGTTTATCGTGGTGGCCCGGAGGTTAATACGCCTACTTCTCATGCATGCGGGGTGCCATGCCGGTTTGAAACCTACGAATGGCAAGTACCAATGTGACTTTTTCCGAGTTACAATTACTTTCTAAGATAATTTAGACACCACTAAAAATGGTGAAGGAAAATATTGTGAAGAAACCTGGACCTATAATTTCTAATGAGAAGTTTGAAATCGCCAACCCGCACTGAACAAATGTGGTGATTGAAGTTCTCTGTGTGACAAGAGGCTTTGCTCAGCAGTGGGGACTTATAGGCTTATGATGATGATGTTGAATTTACACATCAAAGAACACAAAATTATAAATTAAGTGAAATAATATTTCCCCAATTATAGAAGGTCATACCAATAAATGCAAGTCACGATTTATTCATAACCTATAGTGCGAAAGAGGTTTAAAACGTTCAATATTAAAATTGGAGGTACAATTTTGAAGCCTGATTCAATGTTCAATACCAATTACTGCTAGCTATTAAAGATTGTGAATTTAATTTTCGTACGATTTGTTTTACGTTCGTTTAATCGGAAACGCTATTGTTCTTTATTGGATTTTTTACTTTTTGTTTAATTGCAATTCATATCGCATCGGTGAAATGCTGTAAATTGATTTTCTTGGATTTTTTTTTGTGTGTGCCAACTTTTGTGCTGAATAAATGAGAATTCGCGTCAAATGGGGTACGAGTTTTGATAATAATATTGATAAAAAGTTATATATCCTAAACAAAAAAAACATCTCAAATTGGGTTTAGCAAATAAGAACCGAATTCACAGTGATTTACGTCACAATAAGGCACGAAATACGAAATTTAATTTGAAATCTCATTCTTTAGCTATTGATTCATAGCTACGTAGAGTAAATATGAAATAAAAAAGTAAGACAGTACACACAAATTTTTTTTTTAAACTTTGCCCCACTTTAGGATATTCTCCTGTGTCGTGGGTGCGTTTAAAAACATATAAGTTCACACACAGAATGACACCCAGACCCGAAACAACAATTTGTGGATCACACAAAGTGTTGTTCCGTGCGGGAATCGCGACATGTTGCACGGCAGCCGGTTGCCCAGCCACCGCACCAACCGTGCAGTCTATAAGTCCATTAGTAATTGTAATATTTACTCAATTTTTGTGAAGAAACCTGGACCTATAATTTCTAATGAGAAGTTTGAAATCGCCAACCCGCACTGAACAAATGTGGTGATTGAAGTTCTCTGTGTGACAAGAGGCTTTGCTCAGCAGTGGGGACTTATAGGCTTATGATGATGATGTTGAATTTACACATCAAAGAACACAAAATTATAAATTAAGTGAAATAATATTTCCCCAATTATAGAAGGTCATACCAATAAATGCAAGTCACGATTTATTCATAACCTATAGTGCGAAAGAGGTTTAAAACGTTCAATATTAAAATTGGAGGTACAATTTTGAAGCCTGATTCAATGTTCAATACCAATTACTGCTAGCTATTAAAGATTGTGAATTTAATTTTCGTACGATTTGTTTTACGTTCGTTTAATCGGAAACGCTATTGTTCTTTATTGGATTTTTTACTTTTTGTTTAATTGCAATTCATATCGCATCGGTGAAATGCTGTAAATTGATTTTCTTGGATTTTTTTTTGTGTGTGCCAACTTTTGTGCTGAATAAATGAGAATTCGCGTCAAATGGGGTACGAGTTTTGATAATAATATTGATATAAAGTTATATATCCTAAACAAAAAAAACATCTCAAATTGGGTTTAGCAAATAAGAACCGAATTCACAGTGATTTACGTCACAATAAGGCACGAAATACGAAATTTAATTTGAAATCTCATTCTTTAGCTATTGATTCATAGCTACGTAGAGTAAATATGAAATAAAAAAGTAAGACAGTACACACAAATTTTTTTTTTAAACTTTGCCCCACTTTAGGATATTCTCCTGTGTCGTGGGTGCGTTTAAAAACATATAAGTTCACACACAGAATGACACCCAGACCCGAAACAACAATTTGTGGATCACACAAAGTGTTGTTCCGTGCGGGAATCGCGACATGTTGCACGGCAGCCGGTTGCCCAGCCACCGCACCAACCGTGCAGTCTATAAGTCCATTAGTAATTGTAATATTTACTCAATTATAACTGTATTCAAATACACAGTGTTACACTTCTTTATTCAAACTAGATGGCGCAGTATTCTGATTTGTAGTTTCTATGTAAATCAAATGCAGCCAAAGGATCCTAGTACGTACAGGATTGTTCACAGAATTGTTAATCCTATACAAATATCCTATAATGAATTCACTTAAAGGACTCCTGAGAGTGTTTAAACGAAAATGACTCGTGAATTTATGTTGGTTTAGTTAAAAGATTAATTTTAATGCCATTTCTGGTTTAAGTATGTAAATTTAATGGTAGATTAACTCGTCGAGTACCGTCATTATAGACACAATTATAGAACAATAGGTTGCGGTCACCGGTGACCGCTTGGTGTTTGACAGTTTAAGATTATAGTAACATTTTTTTACTAAAATTACTTCTCTTCAAAATCAGAATTTTAATTTTGCCACAACGTTATGACGATTATTTCATTGTGACCTTGATATTGTCCATTTTGTTGACTTGACTTGAAGGCAAGACAACAAGCAAAACTACTATGCTTTATAGTTTTATAGTACCACAATAGGGTAGATGCTTAATTTTTATTTTAATGTCCGTCTGGTAGATTATTTTAATACACTAGACACGTATTTTTCATTTTCTTGCAGAAACGAATACTTCCGACGATGTATTGATTTGAAATGTCGTCTGACGTCACTTCTATGTACATTTTAAACGTAGAAATAACGTTTTAGCCCCCACTCCTAAACCGTGATTCGTTTTATCTAAGTATAGTTTTATTATACGACAAAATAAAAAAATACGTGTCTAATATTTATTCATTACCTAACTTACGAACTATTTAGATTTTTAATTTTCATACTCTGTCATCATCCCAATAGTACTAAGATAGGTATTCTATAAAAGTCATTTACACACATCATTTACCACCTCAACTAACTTCACAAAAAAGACCAAAAACCATTCATTTCCAGCAATAAAATCATCCATCAATATATTTGCCAAACATTTCCTCAACAGACTTCATCGTTTCTTCTATAGAAAGAATCAATACTACACCTCCTTACTTTTGTACTAACCCCTGCCTTGAAACGTTAGTGATATTTGTGGAACGATTGCTCAGACGTATATGATCAAATAGCAATTCGTTTAAAGCAATGTGCGTGTGCCCTAATGTGCTTTACACATGGTCGTGACACGCGAGGCACAAGCTTATG